TCGAATCGAATCATGACTTCTTTGCCAATACCCACCTCTAATATATATATATATATATATATATATAAAATAAGCATTTAATTTTATATAATTATGTGACAAAAATAATGCTAAAGGCCTATGTTGTAGATCTAAGAATAAAACAATGTATGATTTGAATTGATAATCTAAAGAAATTAAATGTTTAATGCACACTAGATAGCACTGTTTGAATATTTTTATATTATTAGAGATGTTACTTTTAAATTGTTTTTAAAGCTTTATACTTCCTGTTAACATGATTTTATCTTCAAAAGTTTTAAACCCCTCATATGTTAATTTTGTGTCCAAGATGGAGGACTTCCTTGTTTTCTAATCAAGTCGCCTCCAAAGTTTTTTTAAGCTCTTTAAAAGCTTTATTTTTACTAGGTCATTGAAGTACAGTGATTTTGAGGGACCCTAGAGGTATCTTTTCTGTGTGCATTATTTTGTGGGGCCAGCAGAAAGGAAATTGTCTAAGTATCAAAAAATATTTAATTATTCCATCAATCCATCCATCTTCTCCCGTCTGGTTTGCATTGGGGCCGGTGCCTATCTCCAGCAGTCTATGGGCAAGAGGCAGGTTACACCCTGGACCGGTCGCCCGACTATCACAGAATTTCATCATATAAATGTACTATTTATCCAAAATGTAAATGTAAATACCTTTATTGTCCCACAATGGGGAAATTTGTTCTTTGCATTTTGACCCATCAGCAGTGGGCTGCCAGTGAACCCAAAGTAGAGGCTGTGGGGATCAAACCTGGTACTTGAAACCATCTCAGAGCACAAGCGCACTGCTCTGACCAACTAGGCCAACACTCCTATATATCCATACTTTAGGTTTGAGGAGCCTTTTTTCCACATTTTTTTCAAACAAACAGAACACAAATTAAAAACTTTCTCTCAAATGGGCAGGAATTAGACAGAGAATTAGAGATAAATAATTAGAAGTTCAGAATTTGAAAATTTAGTGCAGTCTCTGACTAGTTAAACAGCCAGAACCTGAAGAAATACTTAGATCTACTCTTTTAAAATTTTACAAGAAAACTATTCTTCTTTGTGGCAAAATGTAAATTAATTGAGAAATGTGCAACACTGCTGCATTTAGTTTTCTAGCAAGCTTTCCTTCTTCAAAATAACCAAAGGCCACTGGGATTGTTTAACAAATACAACAATTATTTTAAAGTTAAGAAAATAAGGAGATTGGCTCAACAACCAATAAAAGATTAAAGGAAGATATTCTCTTTATTCTTATTACCGTGGTATTTTATTGCTTTGATGTAAACAGTATTTGTGCTGAAATACTGTTTACATCAAAACATTTGATTATTAATTAGTAATTACAGACAGCTGATGTGATAATGTTCATGCCTGTTGCTGGGTTGACCTTAAAATCAATTTTGTATTATAAACGTTTTACATTGGACTGAACAGAACTGGATAAAAATTAATTGGATTTATATTGAGTGAATTTTATTTACTTTAGCAAAATCAGAACTTGTTTTAAGTAATATGGACCTTTTTGTCTTGTTAATCTGTCCAATCATTAAATTAAATCTGATCTTTCTGTCTTAAGGATGAATACTTTATAACACTCTTCATTTTGAATGACTTAAATTAAAATGTGAGGAGCGTATCACCTCAGTTGGAAACCTATTTAAATTTTAGCATGCAGTTTCCTTTCTTTGACCCAGAAAGGTTCAGTAAGGTCATGACAAAACTTACAAAACAGCTATTTGATCAACTCACAGAACATAATTTGGGCAGCTCAGCCATTGTTTTAATTAAACAAAACCCTGTATAAAGTCACTGCAGTTTATCTCCACTTATTTCTTACTTGCGAGAAGTATAATGTAGTTTAAAAAAAGGCAACTCTTCTTTCAGTGTCATTGAACTTTGTTTTAAAGTAAATTAGGCTTAGCCTAATTCACTAACTGAGTGCCTGAAGGAGTTGATAAAGGGTTTCTATAGCTGTTATCTAAAAGTAAGAAGATACCCTGGAGCAATCAGAACATCCAGGACAGCAGCAGACACTAACTCTGCTACAATACTTTGAGATTTTAAAACTGTTTGCATATTAATGGTCACCCACAGGGGTTGTGGAGGGGTGGGTTGAGAGGGTATAATACAATATGAAATGCTTTAAAACACACTGTATATACCTTTAGATTTATATATGTGTCCTGTTTCGTTCAGGGAGGAGAGCATTATGCTGGTTACACCTCAAACAGATTTCTAGCCAAATACTATGCAGCCAAATACCATGCAGAGAATGACTACCATGCAAACTCTCATTATGTTCAATTTAGTATCATCAGTTTCTCTATTATCCCTGATATTGTAGTGTGGGGAGAAAGAAAATAATAGCTTTCAGAGAACACGCAGTTGCATTTTTTTCTTTTCAATCACTTTACTAAAGTACTATTTAAAAAAATATTTGTAAATAACGTCAAGCATACAAATAGCTGCAATTTAAACCCCTGTGCTCGCTGATACGTTATTGCGTGGCCAAAATCGAGCTGCTGCCTTGGGCAGGGTTTAAATGTGTTGATAAGTAAACAAAAACACATCAAAATGCTTCAGGGAAGAGAGCTATGCAGTGACCTTTCAGGCATTCTCAGGAGCAATTTTTCCTGATCCTTTATACTGTTTGTTTTCTCATCTGCACCTTGTTGTTTGGCATCTGATCAATAACAAATAACCCATATGACACTAGATTTATGGTGGGACATCCATCTAGGAGGCTGCCATTTTAAACATTGAAATGCCCATCAGTGATTGTCTGAGAAATAGCCCATAGAATATTAAAATTATGAAAAAAATTGCCAACATTCAAGTTACTCTACCTAATTATTCTTAGAATAGATGGTAATAAATATGCAAGTTTGACATATCAGATATCAATCATTTTCAATTAGTGAAATGCTTTTCAGGGTTATCTGTGTAAAGGTATAATGTTATGCAGCACCCTCCTCTACTACTCATTGCCTGAAGCTAACACTTAACTGGTTAAAAAGGGACACCTATACTTTTTATGCTTATATGACAGAGAGATTGATTCTGCTGTTTGGAAAAATGCTGGTGCAGATTCTCAGTCATCCAGGTCATAGTCATTCCAGAACGGTAAAAAAGCACTGGACTTTGTTTCCAAGTTGTTTGACTTCCCATCCAGGAAGCTTTTTCAATTGAAAAAAAAAAAAAATGTGCATGTTATCTAAGCCAAAACACGGCTTTGTTTTTGGTCCACTCTATAAAGCCTCAAGCTCAATGCTCTTTCTGACATTTTGAATCGAAAAAGTTTCCTGGATGGGAAGTGAAACGTCTTCAAACTTAGAAATAAAGTCCAGTGCATTTTTTGTTTTTTTTTGGAACTGTTTGGGAATATTTCTGATCAAAAGAACTGACTGGCATTGCATCAGAGTAATGAAGGCAACAGCTGGCAGACGATGAAGAGTGTGTTCAAGAGCTGACTGCAGAACTGATGCCAGAGCTGACACCCAGACTAATTAACCAACCAGTGGAATCTTACAAGCATTGAACATTTTTGTGAATACTTAATTGAAATGGATGATTTTAATCTGTAAACTTAAAAAAACATAAAATAATTAGAAGTAAACCAGCAATATCCATCAAAATGTTTTTCACACACACACACACACACACACACACACA